AGAGAGAGAGATTAGCCAGAAAAGTAGGGAAATGCAAAGCTTACAGCAAACACGGAGCTTTGTGCCAGACAGTGGAGGCAATGGAAGATCATGACAGTGGGCTTAGGGTAACATGTTTAACATATGCACTGATGTGATTTATAATTCAATGCAAGATCTTCAAACACAATGCCATTTAATGGAGAAAAAAAAATCTGTTGCCACTCAGATATTTGGTGGAATTAAAAAAAAAAAAAGGTCTAGTACAGCCCTGTGATACTGCCCTTAATGCATCTGGTGGCCTCCTCCTTAGTTTCTCATTGTTAAGTGGGTTTGTGGATGTAGGGCAGCCTTTGAGGTCAGACAGGTAGGTCAGTAAGAAACAGGAATAGTTCTGTGCAGCTGCAGGAGTACAAGCTGTTGGTACAATGGATGCTGTCAAGTAGCACAGAAGACTGTAGGAGTAGGATGGTCTGATGCAGGTCTGGGAGGGAACACCAGCCTGCATCTCATCAGGAGCATGCCCAGAAGCACAAGCTTACACTTAAGGGCAACTCAGTATCTTGACAGACTGGAGAAGCTGGGGAGCGCATCACTGATTTTCCAATTGGCAGACGACCCACTACATCTGAGCCAGAAAATGATACAAGGAATAGGGTTGTGACGTGACGACTCCTAGAGTGAGCAGCCAAAAGAAGAATAATTACACCACCAGCCTGAACCGCTGATACAAGTCAGAATTGGCCTGTTCTCTCTCATCAGTTTCCTGTTCTTAGCTGACAAGAGTGGCCCCCTGTGTGACGTTGTCCTGCTGACTGGATATTTTCTCTTCTTTCGGACGATTCTCAGTGAGACAGGAAAAATATTAAGGTCAGGCGGTCTAGCACCAACAACCATGCCACAAAGCAGCTTAAAATCAGTTCTTCCCCATTCTGATGCTCAGTTGGAACTTCAGCAGGCCATCCTGACTATACCTAAATGCATTGAATTGTTGCCATATGATTGGCTGAATAGATAGGTAACAAAAATATGGTATTTGTCCCAGTCTTAAAAGCAATAGAATCAGTGCCTCCTCAGGGTGGTTGCTATAGAAAAAGAATCGTTTTTAATTTTATCTTAGTACGTAAATATCATAATTGAAATACATTAAAAGCAACTGAAACAATATTTTCAACCTGGGTTTAGGTTTCGCTCTGTTATCACCCTGAAAGAGATCTCTCAAAAACTTCTCACATTCCTAGTGTGTTTGAGGCGATGAGCCTTCTTGTACAATATTTAAGACATTTAGAGTAAGCAGACATAAGAGTTCATCTTTAATTTAACCCGTGATGAAAAACAGAGTTTGCCCATTTTTCTATGGAGAATGCTGCATTTTATTCTTCTTCCACATACATAGAACCATATGTGCACTGTAGCCAAAAATGTGCATATTTACAAAAATGAAATCAATATACACAAAAGAATTATAATACAAGAGAAAAGAAATCCTTCAGTAATCCTTACGATAACAACATGGCAAGTACAAACAAAAGTTATTTTTGATACCTTGTGAAGTTTTTGTGCAGAGATTCTTTTCTCACAAGATGAAGTGTTTGTATGTTCCGGGTGTGTAAGGGTGAAACCGCTGCAGCCTTCATTGCGGTACATCTGTAACTTAAACTTCTTAACACTGTTTTTTTTTTTTTTGTGAGCAAACTTATGATCCGTCATTTTAAATGCAAATTAATTTTCAAAGGGTAAGTTTAAACTGTTTTAGTGTTTGTTTCCATTCAAGGTCAGACAACTGACACGTGTCGGCTGCAGACAGAAACTTTTAACCCAGAGCGGGTCAGTTTGGGAAGTAACGTCACTTTGAAGAGATCATCAGAGCAGCAAATTCAGGTTTTCTTCAGAGATCATTTATAAAGTGCAGCTTTGAGAAAGAACACAGAACTATGAGAGAAGGGACTTTCTGCAAATATCATATGAAAAAGAAAAATCAATGAGATTACATGAAACAGTTTATAATGGTCTACCTTTGAAGGGGGAAAGCATCTAAAACTGGGTTTGAGAAGGTAGAGTTGGGAGGGGCTGGTTAAATTAACTAGAAACGTTTTTTGGTAGTTGTTTAAATTCAGCTTGAATATGCACACGTATCGTAACTCGGAGAAACGGCTTGTGAACAACAGCCTCTAAATGTTGGCCACGAGCACGCCTAAGGGTGTTTCTTTGATGTGCTCAACTGCCAAAACAGAAGCTTTGATGTAATTTCCTGCTTAACTTTTGACCAGCTACTGCTTTTGGGGATTTCTATTCACTGTTTATACTTTCATCCGACTGATCTCATCATGCTTCCTGAAATTCTTGCTGTCTCAATTAAAACGCAATTCCAACAGATGCACTGCAAACGAAAACAAAGTGTTCTTTTAAACTTCCCATGTTAATATTGAACGACTCCGAACTGCACAAACCGATGTTGGGTTTTGTAGCCTGGTACTGCTTGACAGTGGAAAAAGAACAAAAATGCTTTGCTGAAAGTTTCAAAACATGCAAAAACCTGCCAGTGTCACACGTGTCTCAACATAAAGCTGGAGAACAAGCTGAGAGTCTGTATTAAGAAGTCAGCAAAGTTCAGGAGAGGAAACCGGTCGTGCGCTGAGCTGGTGCCACGGTCCAAAAAGAGCGCGCCCAGTGCTGGTCCCACATTCATGGAATCTCTGGACTGTTGTCGAGAAACAAAGAAATGATTACCTAGAGACTTTTCTTGTTTGACGAATGTGGTAACTTTTAATATTTTGGTGACGCAGACACTGGTGCTGTCGATCTTTATCGACCTGTAAGTGATGGAGAGAAAAAGTAGATCGTCCCAAACGATGGGTTTCAACAGTAGCAGCTAGTTTGACGATCAGTCTCGATGAAAAATAAAAACAATTAAAGAAAAAGTCCTCCAAGCTGGAAGAGATGGTAAAATAAATTATTTTTATATATATCCTTGCGTGTGTATGCACTGCGTGTATATCTGCTGATCGTCTTAACTGAGATAGTTCTTTATCCGAGCAGCAACCCAGAAAGGGCGTTCAGGTCTCTCATGTACGGGTTGTCGCTGAGGATGCGGTCGATCCGCTGCTTCTGGTCGGGGAAGATGTCGTACAGTTTTCTCTTCAGCTCTGACGTCTCCCCCGGCGACCGCTGGGGCGGAGGTGAGGGAGAGGGTGAGGGAGAACGGCGAGGTGGGTGCCATTCTGGGGGCCCAGAGTGGGGCCAGTGCGCAGTGGTGTGGGCCGTCAGGGAGGTGGGGGTCCGCGGGGCAGAGTGAACAGCTTGCACGTAAACTGGCTGCTGCTGTGAGGGAGGCCGGAGGTCCGGGGGTCTGAGAGGCGGAGGCGTGCCCGGAGCTCTCCTGACAGGAAGAGAAAGAGAGGGTGTAAGAAGGAGCAGTGCACAGCACATTAACCAACACTGACCCGACAAGGCCTCAGTATTTCATCACACACCAGCTGTCTTTACGGAGGAAGATGTCAAGGTGAGGTCCGTTCTTTCCCAGAGGGTCATCGGGGATCATGAAGTGGTCCTCCACAAAAGTAAACTGAAGCAATCTGCTGGTCAAAGTGGACAAATTCACAAACTGTAACGTCCAAGCAACTGTTCTTAAACTCTAGTGGGCACTTTCTGAACCCACACTGTGTTGTTTTTTCTGCGGCTTTTACATTCTTACTGTTGACATATTACATGTTCAATTGCTGATTTCGAATAACTACATTTTATTCTTGAAATTTTAACATCACTACAAAAGCTGGAAAGTACTCTGGAGTTAAGATCATCAACGCACCAGGAGATCCAGGCGATGCAGAACAATACAAAAGAAGACACGCTTTCAGGTTCTTTGCTCAAACCTTCCTAGAAATGACTTAATATTGTTGCTGACAAATTAACAGCATTTTCCATGAAAGTCTACTGATTTGGGTACAAATGTCTGTTTTTCCCCCCAATAAAAAAAAAAAAGTTTTAAAAAGAATTAGTCTGTGAAAATTATTTAAAAATGTTAAGAGCTTTGTTGTTTGTTGATGAAGAAATATGCCACACTGAGTCACAGTATGTTTACAGGTATGTGGAAATGAGAAATTTGGTTAGAGTCAGTGATGAGTCTCTCCCTCCAGTACCATGTTTATTAAACCAGTTTGAGATAAAAAAAATAAAAACTTTACAGTATGCGAGATTGTTGTCATGGAATTATAAGCTAAGCTAATTTTACCCCTGGTGAAGGCTGAACTAGTCAGCCTGAACAAAGCAGCCTTAAATAAACAGTTTGTGTACGGGGGAACGCCGCTCTCTGTGTAAAGCAGTCACAACCAGGAATTAACCCATGACAGCAGCACCGGATGGCGTCAGACCAACTTGCACAGTGGTTTCCTGTGCAAAGGGGGGTCTTTATCCGAGACACTGACCAACAGGGGGCGACACAATCCCACAGTCTCATCAGCGATGTATATAAAGTTTCAATATATTTATTCAGTTTGCATTTATTTTATTGTAGCCTTAACTGTAAATATATATCGGTATACTAGATGCGCTGAGAGTAATTTCTGTATTCATCACCATATAAGTAAGTCTGAGTGGTTTACAACACTCCCTGCAGATACAGCAGAGTATGAATGGTTGATATCAACGGATTTATTTTCCTCAATACTTTTTCAACGGTTCTCCTGCGTGTCAAAAAACATGTGAAGGACACGATGTGGGTGTTCAAAAATCATTTAAAGACATCTCTTAGCCAAGTTAAATATGTTGCTTTAACAGATGTAGCAATATGAAATTCTCATTAAGGAGTAATAAAATGCATTATTCACATTATGCTGTACCCGTTTAGTTTCCTGCACACACATGAATTCTCAGGTTCCTTTTCCTATAAAGGACTCGCTGATTGATAGTAAATGTAAATAAAATGGTTTTAAATAGAACTTATATCTTAACATTGCTCCTGTGTGGACTTTCCAGTGCCATGTTAGGTAATGCAGCACGTAAGTGAATGACTCACTGAGCTGTATACACAACAATCACCTCTCTCTAATGATCCTACGCCAGGTGTCCGAGGTGTCGACGAAATCCCTCAGGTTGTCATTGGTTACAATGATCCCGTCTGTTTTTTCTGCTAGGTGGAGCATGAATCTGACGGGGAGAAAAAAAAGGACACTCAGGATTTTCCTCGTGTTCAAAAATATTGTATGTGCTGGTCAGTTTTATGATGAATGATCTGGGCTTCAAAACATCATCATAGAATCATCATATATCTGCATATGTATCTTCTAGTCATCTATTAGAAAGATACAGTACAGATGAAGGTCAGCAGGGTGAGTCTGGGAGCGAACACACACAAGGGAACCTTCAACAACTGAGCGATTCAGTTATTCGGTCTTTGTCCATCAGTCTCTGTGCCCTTAGATATGAAGTGTTTTCAGGGTGTACCTGTCATCGTGTGAGGATATCCTCTGGCCACAGACTTCCCTGGAGGGGGTGAAAGAGAGCAGCCTCAGGTCTTCTAGCTGGTTTAGAAAATGTTGCTCTGTAAGAAAACACCGCTGGCTGTGTCAGTAAAAACAATGACGACAAAGTGAACACACACACATGTGTACTAAACAGGTTTGTTTGGTTCCCGTACACAATGACCCGCAAGACAAAAACCCAAACAGCTGCTCCAGAAGTACTGCTGCTGATATGACCTTCAGCTGTGTTAAGTACAGAGTTTCAGCAGAAAAAAATGTTTGTGTTTCTACTACTACTAATAATAATACATTTTATTTAAAAATAGCGCCTTTCAAAGCACCCAAGGACACTGTACAACAGATAAAAACACAAAAACTGGAAATATACACAATAATAAGAATAACAGATGAAAGTTAAGAGCATACAGAGGTTTAAACATAAGCAATTTTAAACAGATGAGTTTTGAGGGTGGACTTAAAAAGAGGGAATGAACTAATATTTCTGAGGTCAGGGGGTAAGGAATTTCAGAGTCGAGGGGCAGAGCAACTAAAAGCCCCGGCCCCCCATTGTAATCAGACAGGAAGTAACAGAGAGAGAAAGAAAAGATGAAGATCTGAGGCACCGGTACTAAATCGGAGAGGTATGGTGGAGAGAGAGAATGAATAGCCTTAAATATATAAAGGATTATCGGGGGCGACCGTGGCTCAGGGGGTTGGGAAGCGTATCTGTAACCGGAAGGTCGCCGGTTCGATCCCCGGGCTCTCTGTCCTGGTTGTTGTGTCCTTGGGCAAGACACTTTACCCTGCTGCCTACTGGTGTTGGCCAGAGGGGCCGATGGCGCGAT